AGCACCAAAAAAATGTGGCAGCAGCGAAATTGGGACAATGACTAAGGCTCCCCATCTCTCCGATTGTAGTGTAGCCAGTGATGATTTAGATTTTAATAAGCTTACCGAGGGAGATGATGTGTACAGTGCTCAAGGGAAAAGAAAAGCACCATCAAAAGCTGTGGTACAACAGAGGAAGATTCTTTCGGAAGGCAGTGATGGTGATAGTGCTGGCGACTCTGAACCAAACCACTGGTGGAGAGTCTGAGGATGAGTCTGATTTTAGGGAGAGTGAAGATGATGATGCGAACTTCACTCTGGGAGAAAATAAAGTGGAAGAAATTAAAAAGAAAGAAGTGAAGGTAAAATCCCCAGTTGAAAAAAAGGAGAAGAAACCTAAATCCAAACGTGATCCAAAGTCACTTTGGAAGTGACTTCAAGAGACTGTGCTCCAGCTGCCCTGAAATCAGAATCTCAGCCTTCACCAAAAAAGGCTTTATCAGTGAAGAGGCCACTCGGAAACCATTACAAATTTGCATTACAAATATGCAAACCTTCAGCTGGAAGCAGAAAACCAAAGTAGATGCCACCAGCGCGGTCTGGAAGCAGCAGCAGCAGCAACAGCAGCAGGAGTCCACTGGCAGGGGTGTCTGTTAAGTCTCCAAATCAGTGTCTCTACCTTGGCTTGTCCAGATTAGCACAAGTGAAACCCTTGCATCCAAATGCCGCTAGTGGCTGAGTGTGGTAGTCAACAAAGGTTTGATTAAGAGAATAAGAGTTTTACAAGTGTGTTTATATTTGAATTGTGTTTCTGTTTAAGGTGTGTATCATAATATAAAGGAATCCTTTAATGTCAAAAAAAAAAATGAGTAGTAGACCCATGATTTGACTGTCAGCCTGCATGACTCCCACATCGATTCTTTTGTCCCTTAGCAGCACTGGGGTTAAGGTACAGATCCTAGTCAGATCAACTCAGAGAGTCAAGTTTAGTTATGTGTTTACTGATTTAGAGTTTTCCTAAGAAACCAGGTTAGTCCAAACATTTGTCCTAATATATTTGACAACTAGTGATAACTAGGGGTAATTAGTGCAGTGCAACTAGTCTCTTGTTTTTACTGTCAAAGATTTTAGGATGGCTCTCATTACCTATGGCCATAGTACATAGCTTTTACATAAGCAAGACCTAAGATACATAAGCAAGTTCTTAGATATAGAGATGTCTGCTCTCCTTGAGATGAATGATTTTTCCAGAAGTGATGGATATGTAATCTAGGTGTAGGCCATGATACGTTAATTACTTTTATCATCTATTTAGAGGATATTTCTAAATGATTCTCTGTTTACTGACTTCCCAGTCTAGTTTTCCCTTTAGGCTAGTTCCCTTAACCAGTTCCTTGAAGCTTTTTCTTTTTTTGTAGATTTTTTTCCTTTTCTCTATTGACTTTTCTATAATCTTTTCTTATTTTTTTCTTTTTTCTTTCTTCTCTGCTTTTCTTGGTGTTTCTTTTATTCCATTAATTTTTTCCCTTTCTGCCAGCTAAGTATTCTCTGGTTTTCTATAGACAAAAGCACATAGAATTTCAGGATTTTAGGACATCTTAGAGATGAGTTATTCAAAATACTCTCTGGTACTACAACCTGTGTTTAACATCCTCACCAAGTGATTGTTTAAATGGAGAATTTGAAATGCAAAAGAGATTAAAGTAACTTACTTGGATATGATAAGTGACAGAAATGAGATTTAAATTCAGGTTTTTTCCTTTTTTTCCTCATCTTAATAGGTGAATGTTTTAATAATAGAAAGATGGGGAGTGGGTCTAGTGAACACAGTGAAGGTGCGTAAGGAAGAAATTGGCAGGAGAGGCCAAGTTTCAAGAATAACAACACTGGGTTGGATAGGAATAAGAGTTTTAGAAAAGATGTCAGAATATTTGGGCTTATGATAAGTTAGATAAAAATGGATTACAGAAATGAAGGACACACACACATGGAAAGGAATGAAGGACACAGGATATTGGGAGTTGTTTAGAAAAGCATATTAAAATAGAGGGTTCAAGAGAGTCACGAGAATTTTTTTTTGTTGGTTGGTTTAATTGAATGAACTAGCATACTTCAGGTTTTCTGTTGAGAGGTTTTAAAATCATTTGACCCACGGGGAAGGCTTTTTACAGCATATAGGAATGTGACATCATCTACTTCCAGCCCAATCTTGGCTTAGATCCTCTCGAGTAATGGGAGAATGGAGATTCTGAACTACACAGATTTATGGCCCAAGGTAGCGGTCTCCTCACTCCACCTCTTTTTCTAATTCTCTGATGTCTTTCCCATGTACATGTAGGGTTTGGTGGGCTCGGACTGGCTGTCAAATCAGTAACAGCGCTTCATTTGGGTAGTTGGTAACATGTCTACATTGAGATGATTACATGGAAGACTTTCAGTTTAGCTTGTCCTCCAGGAACAGGAAATGGCTCCTACTCTTGGCCATTTGATGCTATGCTTGTTTTGGGAATCTGCTTTCATAGGCTAAAGATTTAAAAGGTTGGATGGTACCACTGAGCCCTGCAAAAGAGTGATCTAAGAGCTCACAGAAAGAAAATATTAGGCAGTGTATAGGGAAATAGAGGCACAGCTACCAGGACTCTCTTTTTATAGCAGTCTCTCTTCTTGGGTATCTCAGTGCTTATGAAGGTTTTTAAGGTCTTGCTAGTTCATGTAGACCTAAATAAGGCAGGACCTGTGTAGGGAAAAAGTTGGACCTTATAGTTTTTAACCTCTCTGGGAACAGTATTCCTACTAATAACATAAATTTGTTCTTTAACATGTGTATATTTGTTTGTTTATTTATTTAAATTGAAGCATAGTTGACACATAATGTTATGTTGTGTTTCAGGTGATTTAAGAACTCTGAATGTTACACCATGCCTACCACAAGTGTAGCTACTATTCTTACTGCATGATGCTATTACAATACCGTTGACTGTATTCCCTATGCTGTACTTGTATCCCTGTGACTTACTGTAACTGGAATCCTGAACCTCCCATTTCCCTTTGCCCATTTTGTCCACCCCCCCACCCCCTTCCCTTCTGGCGATACAGAATTCTCTGTATTTTTGGGTCTGTTTCTGTTTATTTTTGCTTTTACTGCTCTTGCCTCAGGAGCAGTAAAAGCAAAAACAAACTGTTGGGACTACATCAAAATCAAAAGCTTTTGCACAGTGAAGGAATTAATCCACACAACGAAAAGGCAACCTATGGAATAGGAGCAGATATTTGCAAATGACATAACCAGTAAAGGGTTAGTATACAAATATAAAGAATTGATAGAACTCAGCACCCAAAACACAACCCAATTTAAAAATGATCAGAAGACATGAACAGACATTTTTCCAAAGAAAACACACAATGACCAAGGGCACCTAAGAAGATACTCAGCATCACTCATCATCAGGGAAATGGAAATCAAACTACAGTGAGATACCACTGCCTACCTGTCAGAATGGCTAAAATAAAAAACATAAGTAACAATGTTGGCAAGTATGTGGAGAAAAAGGAATCCTCTTGGATTATTGGTGGGAATGCAAACTAATGCAGCCACTGTGGAAACAGTATGGAGTTTCCTCCAAAAGGTGAAAACTGAACTACCCTACAATCCAGTAATCACACTATTGGGTATTTATCCCCCAAAATACGAAAATACCAATTTGAATGGATACATGTACCCCTGTGGTTACTAGAGCATTAGTTACAATAGTCAGCCCGAGTGTCCATTGATAGATGAATGGATAAAGAAGAAGTGGCATATATATATATATATATATATATACACAATTGAATATTCAGCCATAGGAAAGAATGAAATTTTGCCATTTGCAGTGAAATGGAGGGAACTAGAGAGTATTGTGCTAAGTGGAGTTGTCAGAGAAAGACAAATACCATATGATTTCACTCATATGTAGAATTTAAGAAACAATAGAAATGAGCAAAGAAAAAAAGAACAAAATATGAGAGACAGACAACCAAGAAACTGACTCTTAACCCTAGAGAACAAGTTGATGGTTACCAGAGGGGAGATGGGTGGGGGAACAGGTGAAATAGGAGCTACGGGTTAAGGAATGCACTTGTCGTGATGAGCACTGGGTGATGGAATTACCAAATCATTATATTGTATACATGAAACTAATACAGCACTGTGTGTTAATGATACTGAAATTAAAATAAAAACTTAATAACAAAAACAAAGGTCAAAGTTCAATTACATCAAGAAACTGCATTCAGTAAATAGATAGTTGACCTTTCACTGAGTTTCTCTTTTTCATGAACTTGTTTTTGTTGTGTATTTTTGCTCTAAAGTATTTCCATTAAACCTGGTGATGATAATGCTTCATGGCCTACATCAGATGATGACTTAAGTTTGAATACGAAGGTAATGTACTCTCTTGTGAAATTAATTTTCCTGCTCTGAATTTAGTTTTGTGTATTATTTACTCTTAAAATTTAGCAGTGGCCTGCCTATCATCATTTTATGTTTGAAGTGGAAAGTTGGTCAGAACAAACCATTTTATAGAAATATGACAAGTTGAATTTTTTTTTAACTCAAATAACGACGGTGGAAAAAATGGGTTGGAAATGTATAATGACAGAAAAATTATATTGGAAAAAGCTTTCCCATGATAGAGGAAATAGGACATTTGGTCAAGGATAAGGATTCTTACTGTGAGTTTTAAATTATCGTATCATGACTTTTCTTTTCTTTTTTCTTTCTCTCTCTCTTTTCTTCTAACATGACTTTTATAATACTCATGCCTAAATGAATCTTTAGTGGACCCAGTTATTAATCGCAGATTGTTTTTTCTTGGATATTTTTTATGTTGGTAGCAAGTAGTTTTATGAAAGAAGATTTTTTTTTGCTATTTCTATCCCTTGTTCTACATTTAGACCAAAATAAGATTGGAAGTTGTGGAAATTCAGAAATTTAAATTATTTCTCAAAATTTATATTGCAAAGGCATTCTACTGTGTTTTCAAAATAATTCCATAAAGACTATAGTTAAAACTCTTTATCTAAGTAAAGAATACATGTTTTGCCTAAAATAATAATTAACACTAGAAGGACAGGCTTTTCATATCCATATGGTAAAATGTCTAATTTCAGAAATCTTTTATATTATAGTTTTTAAAAATATCTACTTATAATCTTTGTATCAGCTCCTAAGATTTAAAGTTTCAGTCACTTTATATTTATTTAAGTATTCATTTTAAAGCTCCTGCATCATTGTAAGCTATGGGATGTTAGGAAACACAATTGTGCATCTCCTGGAACACCTAGAATAAAACCTTGCCTGAAGAAGCAATTTTAATATTTTTTGAATGTGAATTAATGAGCAGACAGATGGAATTCTGTATAATGGAATGTTATAAGTAATGTAATGTGCATAATATGTCATAATATAAAAAATTAAAAAATACATAATTTAAAAATTTATATTCCCTTTTCATGTTTAGGATTTATAAGCGCAAATGAATTATGTTGAGGAAATAAAGAAATAAGAAAGAAGGTTACATTATATTTTTTAGTATCCTCTAATTGTGAGCTTAGAATTTTAGAGAGACTGCCTTTTTTCTCCCGCATTTTTTTCTCTGCTTTGTTGAAGTTTATTTGACCATAGAGTTGAGGGTCCATATATGGACTCTATTCTGTTCCACTGGTCAATGTGTCTGTTTTTGTGCCAGTATCATGTGTTCATCATCATTAGCCATCAGAGAGATTCAAATCAAAAACACATTGAGATACCACCTTACACCAGTTAGAATGGCCAAAATCAACAAGACAGTAAACAATAAGTTTTGGAGAGGATGTGGAGAAAGGGGAACCCTCTTACACTGTTGGTGGGAATGCAAGTTGGTGCAGCCACTTTGGAAAACAGTGCTACCCTATGACCCTGCAATTGCACTACTGGGTATTTACCCCAAAGATACAGGTATAGTGAAAAGAAGGGCCATCTGTACCCCAAGGTTCATAGTAGCAATGGCCACAGTCGACAAACTGTGGAAAGAACCAAGATGCCCTTCAACAGATAAATGGATAAAGAAGATACGGCTCATATATACAATGGAGTATTATGCTTCCATGAGGAAGGATGAATACCCAGCTTTTGTATCAACATGGACAGGACTGGAGGAGATTATGCTGAGTGAAATAAATCAAGCAGAGAGAGTCAATTATCATATGGTTTCACTTACTTGTGGAGCACAAAGAATAACATGGAGGACATTGGGAGATGCAGAGGAGAAGTGGGTTGGGGGAAATAGGAGGGGGAGACAAACCATGAGAGCTGTGGACTCTGAGAAACAAACTGAGGGTTTTGGAGGGGAGGCGGGTTGGGGGGGTTGGATGAGCCTGGTGGTGGGTATTAAGGAGGGCACCTTTCCCATGGAGCACTGGGTGTGGTGCATAAACAATGAATTTTGGAACACACACACACAAAATTAAATTAAAAAATTTTTTTGATAAAAATTCCTCAACCTTTTTTCTTTAACCCCATCTGTGTCCCATTAGATATATCCTTTCAATGTATACATTTCTCCTTAGAATTCTTATTACCAATTCTTTCTTCATGTGAAAGCTGATGTATTAGAAACATTTCTTTTTCTATTTTTTCTCTTGAGAGATAATTACAGCTTTCAGGTAGTGATAGATGGCCACTAATTGAACAATTTACTTTATAGCAAAAAAATTAAATTCTTTACTACAGCATTTATAAATAAATAATTGTAGAGTGAGAAAAGTCAGTAGTATTAGGGATATACTATGAAAAAAAGCCTCTGTTTTATATATATTTATAATATGTATATAATATATATTTACAATATGTAATTGAAAAAATTTAAGAGACTTCTGTTTATGGTATATCCATAATCACACTTACATATACTGAAAAATATGTTTTTTCTACATACCGTTTTTTTACTTATATTTTTCCTTTTTTTCTTTGTTTTAAGCTCGTGCTTGATTGATTGGTCATGTCTTATATTTTTCCTTTTTTCTTCCTCTCCCCCCAAAGCTTTTTTTTGTTTGTTTTTCTAATGACTTATCCCTACCCTAATTTTTCCTTGCAGAAAACTTTAGTGTCTATTGTTTCAGTCCATCTCTTTCTGTCTCCATTGTCAACATATTTGGTTATGACTTTCTGTTTTGTGTGTGTGGTTTTTGTTCATGAATCATGCCCCACAAGGTATATGATGATTTTTTTTTTCTCTTTTCTGGAAGGAACTGAATTTAAACAATCACTTGTTTAGGATTTTTAAAAAAATATTTATTTGATAGAGAGTGCGCATGCAGGGGAGCAGCAGGCAGAGGGAGAAGCAGGCTCCATGCTGACCAAGGAGCCCAATGTGGGACTCTATCCCAGAATCCTGAGCCAAAGGCAGACACTTATCCGACTGAGGCACCCAGGTGTCCCTGTCTTTAGCATTTTGGCAAACAAAAGCAACTTAAATTGTTTGCAATTCCAACTTACCTAACTAAGATACTACTAAAAGCTAAATTTTAATATTTCCTCCTGTAAGAGATACTCATGCAAATATAAATCATGCAAATACATTTTAAAAATAATAAATAGTTAAGATTTCTTAATGTTAGTTTTTTTCAATAATACTTTTAATTACCTAGGAACAAATTTTTATTTTAGGTTACTTTGGTAAAGAAAGTATTTAAAAATTTTTCAAATTTCAATTCCATTTATTTTACATACACTGTATTATTGGTTTCAGAAGTAGAATTCAGTGATTCATCAGTTGTGTACAACACCCACTGCTCATTAATTCCAGTACCCTCCTTAATGCCCATCACTCAGTTATTCCACTCCCCCATAATTCTCCCACTCCCAGCCCACCTCCCCTCCAGCAACCCTCAGGTTCTTTTCTATAGTTAAGAGTCTTGTAGGGTCTGCCTCCTTCTCTGTTTTCATCTTTTTCCCCCTCCCTTCCCGTATTTTCATCTGTTTTGTTTCTTAAATTCCACGTATGAGTGAAATCATGGGATTTGTCTTTCTCTGACTGACTTAATTTCGCTTAGCATCATACCCTCTAGTTCCATTCATGTCATTGCAAATGGAAAGATTTCATTCATTTTGATGGCTGAGTAATATTTCATTGTGTGTGTGTGTGTGTGTGTGTGTATGGTGGGGGTCTTCTTTATCCATTCATCTGTCAATGGACATCTAGGTTCTTTCCATAGTTTGGCTATTGTGGACATTGCTGGTATAGACATTGGGGTGCAGGTACCCCTTCAGGATGCTACATTTGTATCCTTTGGATAAATACCTAGTAGTGCAATTGCTGGGTTGTAGGATAGCTTTATTGTTAACTTTTTGAGGAAGAATTTGTAATAATCAGGGGTAAGGAAAATAACATTTTGGGACTAGCTATTAAATCTCTCATAATCCTCACCCCATGAGAAAATGAGGGCTAGTAAATGGCAGAACTGAGATTTGAATCTACATTTGAATGATTCCAAAACCCATGTTCTTTGTGTAATGGTGCTCATTTGATAATGGTGAATATTATAGTTATTTTACCAAATGTGTTATTGTAATCCTTAAAACTATTAATTATTTTTTCTAGAATACCTCAAAACCAAACTTGAGAAAACTAATGAATGTTTCTCAGCATTTCAAGAACTGTAAGCTGTTTGAAGACTTGTGTTATTCACTGATTTTTGTCCGTTCTTGTGTTAGTCAGTAATTTGAAATTACAGATATTTTCATGTACTCTTTATTTTGTTTTTTACTAAGTGGAAGCAAAACTTGGCCTTGTATCACCGGGAGATAAAACTTTATTTGAGGATGATAATTCTGATAACAAGTGTGAACATACGGTTGGCGTTCCTTCCAAACCATCCGTCGACGTCTGTGACTCTTCTCCTGCTTTGCCATCACCTGATTCTATTCTAAAACCTCCTTTCACATTGTTAGGCCTTGGTCTTACAAAGGTAAGTTGTTTCATTTTAAACTGTTTCCCTATGTTTTTTTCATATTTCATCTTGATCCTACGAAAAGAATCGTAGGAAGAAATGGAAGTCCTCAAGATCATAAGAGAAAACAGTGTCATAATGGTAGAGAGGTCATTGGATTGAGATTTATAAAGGTTGGTGGGAGGGAACAATTTTTAGGTATGCCATTATGGAAGGAACAAATTAGCAACTGGAAAGAACCGCTGTAGATGGATGTGAAGATGAGGGAGGAGGTGAAGGCAAAGAATTCATTTAAGAAGGGCGAGATGAATGTAAACTTGCAGAGTTGAGAGAGATTATTATAAAAACACAATAGCAGTAATGGGGCTACAGGAGCGCAGATACTCTACATTATAAAATATGGTAGAAATTATTTCAAGTGCAAATTAAGAAAATGAAGTCAGGTAATAAGAAAAATGCTCAGACTCCTCTGAATGACTTACAGCTTATTTCTATGAAGAAGTGGAAGAAAATCAACTTTTAAGTTGATAAAGTGTGATATTGTATATTTAATTTAGCAAAACCTGTGTTTACAGATAATGCAAAGTGAAATCAGTTTTAGGCCTTAATCAGATTTATTATGAATTTTGAATTTTGGCCATTATCTTTCTTGTTTTTGTTTTTTGTTTTTGTTTTTTTTTTAAGATTTTATTTATTTTTCTGTGTGTGTGAGAGAGAGAGAGTATAAAAGCAGGGGGAGGGGCAGTGGAGAAGCAGACTCCCTACTGAGCAGGGAGTTTGATGCAGGACTCGATCCCAGGACCCTGGGATCATGACCTGAGCTGAAGGCAGATGCTTAACCAACTGAGCCAACCAGGTGCTCTTTCTTGTGGTTTCTAATTTATTTACTGTGTGGTATAATCTTGGTAAGTTTTAGATCTTTTTGAGAATAAAGAGAGGAGATAAGTAAACACCTTATGTAGTCTTTTCATTACTTAAAACTGAAATTTATGACTATATAAGTTAGGTTCTTAATCTTTATCCATTAAATGAAACAAATTTTAAGCTGCAATACTCTTAAAGAAAAAATATAAAATTTTGTTTCTTATTTTTTTTAAAGAATTTATTTATTTATTTGACAGACAGAGATCACAAGTAGGCAGAGAGGCAGGTAGAGGGGGTTGGGGGGGAGGCAGGCTCCCTGCCAAGCAGAGAGCCTGACGTGGGGCTCGATCCCAGGACCCTGGGATCATGACCTGAGCTGAAGGCATAGGCTTTAACCCACTAAGCCACCCAGGTGTCCCTAACATCTTGTTTCTTGATTCTGATTTATTTTTAATTGTATCTGCAATAGACACATACACACACATCAAATGAATGAACTCACAATTTATGGTTTTTCCCTAATATGAACTAGTTGTCATTATAGAATCATAAGGAAGGAAAGGTTGCTAATAGAGTATACAGAATTATTTCTGGAAGATGATTTTTACTTTTTCAAATATCTCCAATAGTGGATACATTTCATATTATCAGGAAACTTTAGTATTCATAGCTATTAGTTTTGGGGGGTTCTTTTTAAATTTAAAAAATTTTAAGTATTCTCTATACCCAGCATGGGGCTTGAACTCACAACCCTGAGATCAAGAGTCACACCTTCTTCCCACTGAGCCAGCCAGAAGCTCCCATAGTTGTTAAATTTAACATGTGAATTCTTTCATATTTAAAATTCAGAAATACTGGTGATTTTATTTATTTATTTATTTTTGTCCCTTTCTTCTTTCCTCATGTGAATATTGGGTCCTGCTTGATAATGACACATGTATTTGGAGACTTTAAAACCTTCAACTTGGATGATCATGATTATTTTTCAATACTAGATTATTTCTCTGGTCCTTAACTACTGGTGAAATATGCTGTTCACAGTGGAATATGAAAACCATGTGAATTTTAAAATAGAGTTTTATATTTTTCTCATATATTATAGTAGTACTTAAAAATGCCTCAGAATTTTAAAATCCCGTATTTCTCTTATATAATATAAATCTTTTAAGATTAATTTTTAAAAATGAGTATTCTTATGGTAATCTTGAATTGGTGTTTGCAGCTAAATCTTTATTAATCTTAAAAATGGTATTCCTTACAGAAATGAATCTTGCTTATGTATATATTTTTTCTAAAGATTTATTTATTTCAGAGCAAGGGAGAGAGAGAGTTGAGGGGAGGACGGACAGAGGGAGAGGAAGAGAGAGGGAAAGAAGCAGACTCCCTGCTGAGCAGGAGCGTGATGTGGGACTCAGTCTCACAAACCTGAGATCGTCACCTGAGCCAAAATCAAAGGTCAGATGCTTAACCAATGGAGCCACCCAGGTGCCCATTAATTTGCCTGCATTAATAAAAATATATTTTCTATCCTTGAAACTAAGTTTGAAGTATGTAATTGAAATATTGAATCCCATGGTTCCCCCCCACCTGGCTTTTATTTTTGTTCTGAAAATTTCAAGAGTTCTGTGTAGGTTTACGTTATTTAATTATATCAGGTTGGTATATTTTAGTATATCTATATTTAGTATATATATTTATCTTTTTTTTTAAGATTTTTATGTTTTTATTTGACAGATCACAAGGTGGCAGAGAGGCAGGCAGAGAGAGAGGGGGGAAAGCAGGTTCCCCACTGAGCAGAGAGCCCGATGCAGGGCTCGATCCTAGGACTCTGAGATCATGATCTGAGCTGAAGGCAGAGGCTCAACCCACTGAGCCACCCAGGCACCCGATATTTATCTTTTTAACATCATGAGTAATGTCATTTTTCCTACTCTAAATGTATTTGTCTAGAACTTTCTTCGTAAGTCTTCTGGGTGCTTCGGGATGTCTGGGTGGCTCAGTCAGTTAAGCATCTATCTTTGGTTCAGGTCATGATCCCAGGGTGCTGGGATTGAGTCCTGCATTGGGCTTCTTGTTCTGTGGGGAGCCTGCTTCTCCCTCTGCCTGCCCCTCCCTCTACTTGTACTCTCTGTCTCTGACAAATAAATAAATAAAATCTTAAAAAAAAAAAAAGTCTCCTGGGTGCTTCAAATTTGGTATGTCCCAGATTGAAGACATTGTTTCTGACCCTTTCTTCTTCCCTGACTTTTTGTAATCTGCTCTGTCATTTGTTTTCCCCCTCCTAGTAGATAGCACCACTGAAACACTGAAGTAGGAAAAATCCTGGACTCCAGACTTCCCTGAAATTACTACATCCAGGGGCACTTGGGTGGTTTGCTCAGTTAAGCATCCGACTGTTGGTGTTGCTCAGGTCATGATCTCAGGGTCCTGGTATGAAGCCCCTGGTCGGGCCTCATACTGAGTAGGGAGTCTACTTGAGGATTCTCTCTCTTCCTCTCCCTCT